ATAACCTTTGGCTCTCGATTTACCAATAAATTTTCAAGTATGAGTAGCTCTGTATGTTGTAGTGCGTTGGTTGAAGTCGGTTTCGGAAGCTATCATTGGTTCGTGATGGATTGCACGATTCTCAAAATAGTACTTGCATATTCAAAATTTCTTTCTTCTGAACGCAATAGTTACATTATTAAAACCCGTAGTAATAGTTCACACCCAAAAGGAAGGTGCAGTCCGGCGAATTTGTTTTTGTGAAATATCATGTTATCTATGCCAAAAAAAAACATTTCAGCTACAAATAATGCCCTTGTAACATTGACGTTTATCAAAATGGACTATGTTTATTCTTTTGTGATTTTACATAATAAAAGCCCGACTTCATTAATATTTAATCTTATATTGGGAGATAAATAAGTAAATTGTTAAGGAAATCTGTTAACGCGTCTTTTATATCATACTCGTCTGACTCAACACTAAGTTTTACAGTACCGTAGCCAGGAATATTTTCGCCCAACAGCAAAAGCAAATCATGGCCTGCTCTTTTTTTTCGCGGAAAGCGACTACGCTAAGTGAAGATTAAACTCGGTTGAACTGGAATATCCTGTAGATAAATATTCATTGCTATCTGAAAATAATGAATTAGATTCAAATTTTACTTCATTTCTTTTAACAACTTCAATTTTTTCTGCGACTCATTACACATGCCGAGCCTTGAAAATATATTGCCTGCTATGTCTTTTTTAAGCCATTTTCACAATTTTCCTAATTTTTTTTTTTTATGTCTTTCGTATTTTTAAATAGCTCATTGCGCAAATGTTGAATAATATTCTGAAAGGGCACCTAATAGTGTAGTTATTAATAAGCCCTTTTTGATTATATAAAATCTTGAAAAACTGTGACAAAATACGGACAAGCCCACCCAACTGTGGCATAATAATACATGTAAAAGTAAATTTAACACCAAAAAAAGTGCCTAAAATAAAGAAAGAGCTAAAAATCAAAACTGCAAATGTGTAATTTGCACACAAGCTAAAACTGGGAGCTGTCCAAGTCAGTGCTGCCAATGACAATGCCGAATTGCCTACAGAAGTAGCAGCCAGCTTTAACAACTGTCAGGCTGCCATAGCAAATAAAAACTTAAAAACAGACCCTTCCCTGCTTCCTATGCATACAACACACGCAGCAACACCTACACCAGTCATGTAGCAAAAAGCAACATCCCACCACCAGCTTATTCCGAAATCAACAGCAATTCAGTGCAGGGTCTGCCAGCCCCGCTCATTGTTGCAAGTAGATTTTCACCTATTAATAAGGTCGAGGGGCATCTGTACACCTCTGAAAGATGGGGACAGACGCACCAGTTACTACTCCAGCAATACGACATCTTGAGCACAACAACAACCACAACTGCAACCACCGCGTCCATCAGTAGCGGTTGCAGGACCCCGGCCTGCACTGATACAAGCTGTGCCGCATTGGAGCCCATTGGAACACGCCCCAAAACCACCAATGAGGGTTTCCATCCTATACCGGTCGGTACACATAGCGCTCACAGGTCTTTCCCCGCAGCGGTATCTTGCAGCGCTCATTGCAGCGACAAGCTTAACTTGTTAACACTAAGTAGAATGCTCTTCTCAAATTATATAATCAAATTATATCTGATATACAAGAACGGTAGAAAAAATAATGTTTACATGTTCCGTGAACTTCGCTTCCACTTTTCGTTTGATAAAATCGATCGACCTAGTGCTTGCGTATGTAATGCCAATTTAGTTGTAAGTAAGAGAGATACCGTAATATTCTGCACGAGGCTCAAGGTCAGTGTTTTGTCTTATGCTGCCGGCGATGCCTTGCGGAAACGTTCAGCTTATTGTTTCTGTAAGCCAGCTATGTCGGCTGTAGCTAGTTTCATAATAAGTGTAGATTTCAGTTTAAATTTGCCGTTTACACAGAGCACCAGCTTTCGTAATTATACCATTTATTCTCCGGACAAAGCCGTTAAATCAGATAGGAATTCGAATATAGTGCTCAAACATAAAATCAAACCACATCAGAAATGGATCCGAACCAGAAAAACCCAGAAACAGAATCAAGATCCCATGGAACCATGGTCATAAAAATATATAGACACCCTACCAACACAGCAAAGCCCCGTACTACTGGTGCACATGCCGAAGCTTCACAAGCTCAAAAAAGGTAGAACACGTCACGTATGACGGGACAGAGACCCAGCAGAGAGCCAGAAAGTAGGCAATGTCACTCAAAGGGTATAAAACCGCAGCCGTAATTACTGATATCATTTCGAACGCTGTTGGCTGGCAAAATATTAGAAATAATTATTGATACTGGTGCAGAAAAAAGTATGTGAAACCCTTAAAGAAATTTAATAAGCTGTGAGTTCCAGCGCCGCTCCAGTAAGGTAAAAAAAATTTATTTTAAAATGTTTGGAAAAATTGCCCCATTCTTTCAATTAGACACAGTCAGTATGCTTCATAATAGGCTTTGTTGACCTGCCTACGCAGGCAGAAGTGACATCAAACTTACGCGTCAGCAATATCAATTACGGTAACATGCCCGTTGTAGGCAAGTTTTTGTGTCCCGCTTTTTTTCTGAAGCAAATTCTGAATCATAAGCGGCCTATATTGCTAGCAAATCTGCTAGCGTGTCAATTACCAAATTTAATTTCTCCACCCCTCGTAAAATATCTTCATTCAAAATAAATGTTTCACATATGTTCCCCATCATTTGTGATCCCAGCCTCCACACATGATTGTTCAAGCCAAAAAATGGTAACCAGCCTGTCACCCTTCCAGTCCACAAAAAACGGAAAACCAGCAAGGCAGAAGAAAGAATAAAAGCATCAATGTTATCACTGTTATCAATGTTATCACTGCTATAAGTTCGACCACACTAAAAACTATTGCCTCAAAAAGGTCAAATGCGGACGGTGCGGCCAGCTCCCCCGGACGAACTCGGAGTAACGCCAGGCCAAAACGGTGGCAGGCCTTCGAAGCTCAAACTGTGACAGGAACCATGCAGCTTTTAAAGGATGAAAAGCATACCAGCAGCGCTTTAATGGCAAACAACCGGCCAAGGCAACAAGGCCTGTCGTATGCTGATGCATTGCGGCAAGGACGCAACACTTACCAGCAACATGAACAAGCGTGCCAACCCCCCATGTACACAAACCAGTCCACCGCTAAAACAATACAGCCAGAATACCCACCGAATCCATCTCAGGGGCAAGACACGTCCCTCGGAAGCATCCTCCGAGGACTCCCGGACTCGTGGTACGCTCGCAGCATCATACAAAACGCAAACGAACTCAAACTGTTTCTGAGAAAACATTAAATGGACATCAGCTTGTCTCAGAAACCCACCTACTCGCCGACCTATACCGTGCGTATCACCCAGCAAGTCGTGCCAGAGGAGGTGCTGCGGTGGAAAACTAGACGGTTGGACAAGCAGACAATTAAGCTACTGTCATACAAGGCGGTGTTTTTCTCGTCGCTTTTTTCAATGCAGCTCTTCGGCGAGGTCACTTGGCCTGGAAAAAGGCACATATCATTATGTTGCACAAGAGCGGAAAGCCCCTAATCAACTGGAATCCTATCGCCACATCAGCAGCCTTTGGCAAGATACTGGACAGTTGCATCCTTAGAAGGAGCCTGGATACCCCGGAAATAAATTGCTCAATCCCGAAGTCCCAGTTTGGATTTCGGCTCAAACACGGTACCTCTGAGCAACTCCATCACAAACTATATTTTGGACGGCATGAGTGACCCCTCTCCAAGATAAAGCGCAAATTAATTCCGCAGCTCTTCAACATCATTGCGAGCTTCCTGAACAAAAAGACATTTTGAGTGATACAGGATGGCATAGCCTCTCATACCAAACGCATAAGAGCGTTCCACAAGGTAGTGTTTTGTAGCCTCTACCCATGGCAAACGAATTGGCCCCTGACACTCGGCAGGATCTCCAGGTGGCTACGTTTGCTGACACGGCAATCCTTGCCAAGCGCTCCGAAAACTGGGCTTGTGGGTAGAATTTCTCAGTGAACCCCCATTGTGCTACGGTCACTCACACCCTAAGCAAGAACTCCTGCCACGCATTTTTTCTCCATGGCGAACTCTTTGAGGGACCCTAGGGATCACACTCAGCAGACAACTTACGTTCCAAAAACATGTCACCGAGGTAACCAACAACTTAAAAATCAGGCGTCTAAGCAGGCTGCTAAACCCAACTAACAAACTCTCACTTAAAAAAACGTCCTTATATATAAGGTAATACTTGCCCCTGCGTGCCGTTATGGGCCAGGTGTACGGAATTGCCGAGGAGACGCTCAACGAACTTCTCATCATCCAGACCAACCCATGTGATAATTCTCTGGAGCCGAATGATATATTTCTACACGAGACATCTTAAAGGAACTTAAGGTTCCTATGGTAAGAGACGTTATCAACCAAACAGCAGCCAGCTACCTGCGAAACAGTTTACGATTATCGGATACAAAATTGTATTGCGCGAGCACTAGAAGGACCTAAAAATTAAAATTTATTGCACTGTCAATTAATTCTTTGCAAAATTAAAACCATTACTGTATATGTTAATACTGGCAATAAAAAATAATTCTGCCTCTGAATCCTTACTTCAGACATCTATAGTAATGTGCGAAATTGTGACCGGAGTTTGCATCGGATTCTGACCAATTGTCTCCTGCTGATTCGGGTAATATTATTACCGCAGAAACGGTTAGTCAGGAATTCTACTAGTATTGTGGTGTCATTGTTAATTTTTTCTTTCTGAATATACCTATTTTGACTTATACATTTGTAAGATATGTCAAAAGTACTAATTAGAATGATTCTGGTATTCAATAGTTGCCTTTCCATATTTAATACATAAATATGTTATTAATTTTGATTTTTCCACCATATTTATATTTCTGCAAATGTATGTAACAGACAGAAGGAAGCATCCGATCCCATAATGTATATATATTCTTAATCAGCATAGTTGATCCGATCTAGCCATATCCATCTGTCAATCCGTCCGCCCGTCTGTACGAACAAAGATCTCAGAACCCATAAGAGCTAATGACTTGACATTTTGAATGTAGGTCCTCCTAGGGCCCGCGCAGTTCGACTTTATTTCCGATAAGTCCATAACTTGCCCCATTTTCAAGTAATCCATATGAAAATTCTGTTTATTGAGTAAATCTAGCAAGTTCTAAGAGAAAGAAAATCCGAAATTGGCATTTAGCTACTAGAATAGTATATATATATATATATGTCGAAGTCTGCGAATTATTCTCCAATCTATAAGGCTTTGGAGCGCAGTGTGTTTCGATGTGTACGTCTCCGGAAGCAACAGAACCCAACGTGCTTCCGTTTCCCTTTTTATCCCATCGAACCACACTCGGCGACAATGTTCCTCGCCCCAACAGTTCTAAGCAAAGCGACAACTTCAACTTGGAAATGGCAATTCCCAATCATTGTGAACTACCAAATATCTTGACATTCCCAATATTATTATGACATTCCACGTGCAACCACATAGACATTCCGTATGCGCCGACACGGCCATTCTAACTCTAACACGTCCTCGTGTACAAAAGTCCATAATTCCAGTTGCCTTGTGCTTCCATTATATTACACGGTCGACGTACTCTGTTATTTTCCTTTGGCCAGCACTTCAACACCGTTCACCCTATTGGGGCTCTTCACGTTCTTCAGAAAATTTGACATTCTCAATATTTTCATTTTCACTTTCAACTCTATTATTATAATCATCACACACATTTAGCTTCTCGGGTACTTCCCCAACTGGCAATTATCTTTAATTTTTATGTGCATATTTGTAACTTCGTTTATTGGTTAAGGACTTCAAAATGTTTCTGTCACCCTCTAAAACCTGCGTTATTTTAAAAGGACCCTTGACTTTTGGACTTAACTTGGTTTGATGCCTCTCTTCGCTTTTAAATAATAGTTTAAATAATCTTTCAAAAAAGAAGCATTTTTGAAAAATGTGTCAATTCGCCCCGAACATTTCGTGTATTTTGCGATGGTTAATCGAGATTTCTATCGATGATGTGAAAAATGTAAAAGTAACGTAAACATAAAAATCTGATATATCAATGAAGGCAAGCGGCAACTTTAAATAAGATAGTTAAAATTAGAATAATCCCACTGTCTTTTGAATTTAAACATGGCGAAATGTCGAAAAAAATACCTAAAATGGGGCCTTACTTCGAGAACGCAATTTTTGAGTTTTGGAAGAAAAATGTTGCGGCGCTTATGTAAATTAAAGAAACTTGTCACCTGTTTATTTAAAGAAGCGGTATTTTTGCCACTCACATGTTACCGCCAACCGGTGGAATACCAATAGGTGAAATTGGAAAATGTGGCATTTCTTAAACCAGTGGACAGAGACTATAATACAAAATCTCCAACTTTGTATTTAAGTAATTTTGCCTTTTATCAAATAGTTTTTTGTCATAAACTGCAGTAACTAAAACATTCTTTTCAGCCTTTTCTCTTACGTTTGACAAATCAATCTCATTTTCTATGTCACTAGGTGGAAATAATCCTAAAGGGCATGCTTCCTTTCCCAATAGCATTTCTAGAGGATTTGCCTTTGTCACAAGGTTAGTTGTACAATTGATTGCCAACTGCACCTCTCTTAGCATTCCAGTTTTAGCCGCCGTTAACATATTTTTCAACGTGCTCATTGTCAGTTCCACTTGGCTATTAGCTCGACTGGCACCGGTGGCAATCAAGTGCAAGTTTATTATATGATCTTATTGAAATGTACACAATTAAATAAAATACTAGTTGGTTTAGATGATCTCAGTATTTATTTATTTACTTTTCTGAGCACGTTAAAACTGAAAATTACAAAAGCCTACTTGGTCATTGTACCTTTTGTATGAATGAGTGTTAGTGTGTATTTCAACACTCATTCCAACAGATCTGAACAGAATCTACTAAATTTGCTCCCGTAAAACATCTTCCCTGGTCGGCTATTATTCGGTTTGGTACTCCAAACAACGAAGCAGCGGATTGAAGAGCGATTTAAGGGTATGATATAGATAGACATACTTGGTAAACGCATCTACTTGAACAATAACGTACTCTTTTTGGTCACTCTTGCCACCCAATTTCCCAATTATGTCGATGTGGGTAGTGTGCCAAGAAATATAGACTTTCGGGATTGGATGCACTTTAGCCTGAGTTTTTCCTGAAGCTGAAGAATTTTGCAAGTGATGCAGTTGTCTACAAATTTTCTGATATATTTTAAATATATAACCAGTAAAAATCGTAAACTTTATCGAATGTCTTTTCGAAACCTTGGTTTATAACGGCACCACTGGTAAACAGCGCGTTCTGCCATTTCTCTGTAAAAAAGAAAAATCTTTCAATTTACTCACAATTTTGGCTATGTCTGAGTCTCGACGCTGTTCAGCAATTAGCCAATTGCTTGAAATTTCAGCCAAGTCTACTCTCTTCTCTTCAATCGCCTTCACAGCGGAAGTAGTCTTTGGAAAGATGGGATTTCTCAACATGGGCCATTCTTTTCCCTTCTCTGTACTGAACGTCGATTGTAAATGACTGCAAATAAGCCCACCAGCGCTGTGCTCTAGGGGTCAAGCCTCGTTTATTTCTTGACGCCTTCAGTGAGTTACAGTCGATATAAACCATAAAGTTTCTACCCAACAAATAGTGTCGAAAATGTTTAATGGCTTTTCAACTGCTAAAGTTTCCAACTAATACGAGGGGTATTACGACTCTGCAGTAGTTTTGCTATAGTATTCTATTATCTGGGGGTTATTATTAATAATTTTTGTGTAAAAAAATTGCACCGCATCCACTGCAACTTGCATGTGTATGCAATTCAATTGGATAATTAGGGCTAAAAATAACAAGGACTTGTTTATCAGTAAGAGTAGAAATAACTTTCTTCCGTATCTGTTCATTTTTTGGTTTCCGAATAAATTTATTATTGTCTGAAGTTAACTGCGAAAAACCCTTAATAATAAACTGCCGGAAGTAAGATGCCAATCCAATAAAGTGCATAAGTGATGTGACTGACTGTGGAGGCGGAAGAGCAATCAACGCTACAATTTTCTGAGGGTTCGGACGAATTTCACCACCACTAACACTGACGGCTAAATATTGAACTGATATTTTCAAGAAAGAACACTTTGTAATATTAAAAGGAAGGAACCCCAGCCTCTGTCAGGATATTTAGAACAATCTCTATTTTTTCTAACGCCTCACATTGTGTTGCCGCAGTTATCATAATGTTCTGAATCCTTACTTCAGACATCTATTGTAATGTGCGTAATTGTGACCGGAGTTTGCATCGGATTCTGACCAATTGTCTCCTGCTGATTCGGGTAATATTATTACCGCAGAAACGGTTAGTCAGGAATTCTACTAGTATTGTGGTGTCATTGTTAATTTTTTCTTTCTGAATATACCTATTTTGACTTATACATTTGTAAAATATGTCAAAAGTACTAATTAGAATGATTCTGGTATTCAATTGTTGCCATTCCATATTTAATACATAAATATGTTATTAATTTTGATTTTTCCACCATATTTCTATTTCTGCAAATGTATGTAACAGACAGAAGGAAGCATCCGATCCCATAATGTATATATATTCTTAATCAGCATAGTTGATCCGATCTAGCCATATCCATCTGTCAATCCGTCCGCCCGTCTGTACGTATGTATGAACAAAGATCTCAGAACCCATAAGACCTAATGACTTGACATTTTGAATGTAGGTCCTCCTAGTGGCCGCGCAGTTCGACTTTATTTTCGATAATCCATAACTTGCCCCATTTTCAAGTAATCCATATCAAAATTCTGTTTATTGAGTAAATCTAGCAAGTTATAAGAGAAAGAAAATCCGAAACTGGCATTTAGCTACTAGAATAGTATATATATATATATATGCCGAAGTCTGCGAATTATTCTCCGGAAGCAACAGAACCCAACGTGCTTCCGTTTCCTTTTTTATCCCATCGAACCACACTCGGCGACAATGTTCCTCGCCCTAACAGTTCTAAGCAAAGCGACAACTTCAACTTGGAAATGGCAATTCCCAATCATTGTGAACTACGAAATATCTTGACATTCCCAATATTATTATGACATTCCAAGTGCAACCACATAGACATTCCGTATGCGCCGACACGGCCATTCTAACTCTAACACGTCCTCGTGTACAAAAGTCCATAATTCCAGTTGCCCTTTTGTTATTCTTTTTCTTTTTATTGCCAACAAATATTTCCACAACAAAAGCAAATTTTAATTTCTTAATTCTTATCATTCTTACGACTTCGCAAAATCGTAACAAGCCTCCTGAAAGCATACTTTAACATAATCTTTACCATTCTGTTTGGTTTCTTTTTTTCTGAAATGAATCAAATGCCCCACACGCCATGATCAAAGCAAACATCAGTATGTTTTGCACTTGTGCTTGCATTATATTACACGGTCGACGTACTCTGTTATTTTTTTTGGCCAGCACTTCAACACCTTTCACCCAATTGGGGCTCTTCACGTTCAACTCTATTATTATAATCATCACACACATTTAGCTTCTCGGGTACTTCCCCTTGTGGCAATTATCTTTAATTTTTATGTGCATATTTGTAACTTCGTTTATTGGTTAAGGACTTCAAAATGTTCCTGTCACCCTCTAAAACCTGCGTTATTTTAAAAGGACCCTTGACTCTTGGACTTAACTTGGTTTGATGCCTCTCTTCGCTTTTAAATAATAGTTTAAATAATCTTTCAAAAAAGAAGCATTTTTGAAAAATGTGTCAATTCGCCCCGAACATTTCGTGTATTTTGCGATGGTTAATCGAGATTTCTATCGATGATGTGAAAAATGTAAAAGTAACGTAAACATAAAAGTCTGATTTATCAATGAAGGCAAGCGGCAACTTTAAATAAGACAGTTAAAATTAGAATAATCCCACTGTCTTTTGAATTTAAACATGGCGAAATGTCGAAAAGAGTACCTAAAATGGGGCCCTTACTTCGAGAACGCAATCTTTGAGTTTTGGAAGAAAAATTTTGCGGCGCTTATGTAAATTAAAGAAACTTGTCACCTGTTTATTTAAAGAAGCGGTACTTTTGCCACTCACATGTTACCGCCAACCGGTGGAACACCAATATGTGAAATTGGAAAATGTGGCACTTCTTAAACCAGTGGACAGAGACTATAATACAAAATCTCCAACTTTGTATTTAAGTAATTTTGCCTTTAATCAAATAGTTTTTGGTCATAAACTGCAGTAACTAAAACATTCTTTTCAGCCTTTTCTCTTACGTTTGACAAATCAATCTCATTTTCTATGTCACTAGGTGGATATAATCCTAAAGGGCATGCTACCTTTCCCAATAGCATTTCTAGAGGATTTGCCTTTGTCACAAGGTTAGTTGTACAATTGATTGCCAACTGCACCTCTCTTAGCATTCCAGTTTTAGCCGCCGTTAACATATTTTTGTCCGTTCCACTTGGCTCGACTGGCACCGGTGGCAATCAAGTGCAAGTTTATTATATGATCTTGTTGAAATGTACACAATTAAATAAAATACTAGTTGGTTTAGATGATCTCAGTATTTATTTATTTACTTTTCTGAGCACGTTAAAACTGAAAATTACAAAAGCCTACTTGGTCATTGTACCTTTTGTATGAATGAGTGTTTGTGTGTATTTCAACACTCATTCTGAACAGAATCTATTAAATTTTCTCCCGTAAAACATCTTCCCTGGTCGGCTATTATTCGGTTTGGTACTCCAAACAACGAAGCAGCGGATTGAAGAGCGATTTAAGGGTATGATATAGATAGACATACTTGGTAAACGCATCTACTTGAACAATAACGTACTCTTTTTGGTCACTCTTGCCACCCAATTTCCCAATTATGTCGATGTGGGTAGTGTGCCAAGAAATATAGACTTTCGGGATTGGATGCACTTTAGCCTGAGTTTTTCCTGAAGCTGAAGAATTTTGCAAGTGATGCAGTTGTCTACAAATTTTCTGATATATTTTAAATATATAACCAGTAAAAATCGTAAACTTTATCGAATGTCTTTTCGAAACCTTGGTTTATAACGGCACCACTGGTAAACAGCGCGTTCTGCCATTTCTCTGTAAAAAAGAAAAATCTTTCAATTTACTCACAATTTTGGCTATGTCTGAGTCTCGACGCTGTTCAGCAATTAGCCAATTGCTTGAAATTTCAGCCAAGTCTACTCTCTTCTCTTCAATCGCCTTCACAGCAGAAGTAGTCTTTGGAAAGATGGGATTTCTCAACATGGGCCATTCTTTTCCCTTCTCTGTACTGAACGTCGATTGTAAATGACTGCAAATAAGCCCACCAGCGCTGTGCTCTAGGGGTCAAGCCTTGTTTATTTCTTGACGCCTTCAGTGAGTTACAGTCGATATAAACCATAAAGTTTCTACCCAACAAATAGTGTCGAAAATGTTTAATGGCTTTTCAACTGCTAAAGTTTCCAACTAATACGAGGGGTATTACAACTCTGCAGGTAAAGTAGTTTTGCTATAGTATTCTATTATCTGGGGGTTATTATTAATAATTTTTGTGTAAAAAAATTGCACCGCATCCACTGCAACTTGCATGTGTATGCAATTCAATTGGATAATTAGGGCTAAAAATAACAAGGACTTGTTTATCAGTAAGAGTAGAAATAACTTTCTTCCGTATCTGTTCATTTTTTGGTTTCCGAATAAATTTATTATTGTCTGAAGTTAACTGCGAAAAACCCTTAATAATAAATTACCGGAAGTAAGATGCCAATCCAATAAAGTGCATAAGTAATGCGACTGACTGTGGAGGCGGAAGAGCAATCAACGCTACAATTTCCTGAGGGTTCGGACGAATTTCACCACCACTAACACTGACGGCTAAATATTGAACTGATATTTTCAAGAAAGAACACTTTGTAATATTAAAAGGAAGGAACCCCAGCCTCTGTCAGGATATTTAGAACAATCTCTATTTTTTCTAACGCCTCACATTGTGTTGCCGCAGTTATCATAATGTTCTGAATCCTTACTTCAGACATCTATTGTAATGTGCGTAATTGTGACCGGAGTTTGCATCGGATTCTGACCAATTGTCTCCTGCTGATTCGGGTAATATTATTACCGCAGAAACGGTTAGTCAGGAATTCTACTAGTATTGTGGTGTCATTGTTAATTTTTCTTTCTGAATATACCTATTTTGACTTATACATTTGTAAAATATGTCAAAAGTACTAATTAGAATGATTCTGGTATTCAATTGTTGCCATTCCATATTTAATACATAAATATGTTATTAATTTTGATTTTTCCACCATATTTCTATTTCTGCAAATGTATGTAACAAACAGAAGGAAGCATCCGATCCCATAATGTATATATATTCTTAATCAGCATAGTTGATCCGATCTAGCCATATCCATCTGTCAATCCGTCCGCCCGTCTGTACGTATGTATGAACAAAGATCTCAGAACCCATAAGAGCTAATGACTTGACATTTTGAATGTGGGTCCTCCTAGTGGCCGCGCAGTTCGACTTTATTTTCGATAATCCATAACTTGCCCCATTTTCAAGTAATCCATATCAAAATTCTGTTTATTGAGTAAATCTAGCAAGTTATAAGAGAAAGAAAATCCGAAATTGGCATTTAGCTACTAGAATAGTATATATATATATATGTCGAAGTCTGCGAATTATTCTCCATTCTATAAGGCTTTGGAGCGCAGTGTGTTTCGATGTGTACGTCTCCGGAAGCAACAGAACCCAACGTGCTTCCGTTTCCCTTTTTATCCCATCGAACCACACTCGGCGACAATGTTCCTCGCCCTAACAGTTCTAAGCAAAGCGACAACTTCAACTTGGAAGTGGCAATTCCCAATCACTGTGAACTACCAAATATCTTGACATTCCCAATATTATTATGACATTCCAAGTGCAACCACATAGACATTCCGTATGCGCCGACACGGCCATTCTAACTCTAACACGTCCTCGTGTACAAAAGTCCTTAATTCCAGTTGCCCCTTTGCTTTTTCTTTTCTTTTTATTGCCAACAAATATTTCCACAACAAAAGCAAATTTTAATTTCTTAATTCATAAGGACTTATCATTCTTACGATTTCGCAAAATCGTAACAAGCCTCCTGAAAGCATACTTTAACATAATCTTTACCATTCTGTTTGGTTTCTTTTTTTCTGAAATGAATCAAATGCCCCACACGCCATGATCAAAGCAAACATCAGTATGTTTTGCACTTGTGCTTGCATTATATTACACGGTCGACGTACTCTGTTATTTTCCTTTGGCCAGCATTTTCAACACCTTTCACCCTATTGGGGCTCTTCACGTTCTTCAGAAAATTTGACATTCTCAATATTTTCATTTTCACTTTCAACTCTATTATTATAATCATCACACACAT